TGTCTGAATCAGACGGACGTTCCAGGCCCAGAGTCAGGGTGGACTCAGAGCCGAGCACTCGTGCGAACTTCACGAGCCAGCCCGGCAAACAGGGATGGGCCGGAGGGAGGTGTTGTTACAAGATAGATGTCCTAGAACGTGCAAACATAAAATACATCGGCTCGAATCCGAAGAGTCCGCATCGTGTGCCGAGTACAGTGTGAACTCTGAATCCCAAAGGGGGGGGGGGCGCCCAACGTGGAGTTTTTCTTAATTGTCTTGCATCTTTGCATGCCACAACAACGGACACCAAGCAGTGGCATCACCTTATTGGCCATTCCGAGATTGCTCTTTCCTCAATGTCGTGTAAGTAGTGTACTGTGCTGTGCTGTGGTGTGTGCGTATCCCTTCCTCGTCTGCCTGCCTACGCATCGCATCGCCGTCAGTGACACAAACAAGCACGATCAAGCCCAGCAGGTACCTGTAATTAGCTGTCGGCCAAGGAGGGCAGACGACCAGCTTGCCGCACTGTCACATCCTGTTCGACAGGACCGTAACTACCGTGGCTCGCCGAAAGCCAAAAGCAAAGTGGTGCCCGGTAGAACCGAGACATGGTACGCACCCACAGCGGATTGTCGGATTCCATCTTGTCGTCCTGCTCGTCGTCCTGGTCGAGGGACTCGTAGGTAGGTAGGTATGTATGTATGTATGTATGTATGTATGTATGTATGTATGCTTCTCTCCATGTGCGAACGGTTAGGTAGTATGCGTCCTATTATGCCTGCCTACCTGCCTACCTACCTACCTACCTGTCGGTAGTCCATTAAATAGTACCAAGACTCTGTACGAGGTGCATGCCATGAACCACACGCGTATCCCGCCTAGGTCCAAGCCAAGGTATTGATTTAGCCTCGAGGAAGACGGACGACGGTGGGCCATGGAGCTGCCTCGTCGATCCAACCTCGTCGCTGGCGCTGGCTGGCACTCTACCGCATGGTCTGCACATGGGACCGATCGGCCTAAATCCAGTCGCCTGGATTGGATTACTACCTGCTGCGCTACTGACATGGCGGGATGGGCCCGTCACCCACGAATGGACGTGCACATCCCGCGTCGCCCATCACCTATCGCCCGCCGCCCGTCGCCCGTCGCCCGTCGCAAGTGGTGCCGCTGCCAGCTGTTCCCAGCCCGGTACGCACGAGGCAAGCAGCCAACGCAGCCAACGCAGCCTGCAAGGCCCCGGCTGGAACGCGCGAGGTGCCATGGCCGCTACCAGCTCCGCACGCGGGTGCCACGCCTCGTGCGATGGTGCCCACTCGGCTCGTGTGCACAAACTCAAAAGTCCTGTCAAGGTATAGGTATACCTGTACGTAGCGTATGCCCCCCCACCATCTAAACTACAGTACCTGTACTACGTCCGGAAACTGCTCAAGGTAACTATCCACAGTTACGACCGGGATACAAGAGCCACCATCCTCTTCCGGCTCATCCCCGGAAGCGGGGGCGCTTCACTCTACCTACACTGCACACTGTAGCGTATCGTAACGTACTCGTACAGACATACAGTACTACCTAAGTACGGATAGTGTACCTAGGTATCCGTACGGTATGGTAGGTTGTGGGCAGCCCTGTGCTTCCACCCATATCCCTTCCTTCACTGAGAAAGCGGGCTTTGTTAGGCAGGGGCCCTGGACTCTTGATTTTCCAGCTCCATCGGCATCCAACATCACCATAACCGCCTTGTCTTATACCTCCACTTGGCAAGTTACAACGCGTCAAACTCCAAGATGGCCGACTACACAGGACTGTAGCAGCAGAGCAGATCGCATTCGACCGAATTTGCTAATGGGGAATAGTGGACAAAGTACTCCGTAGGTATGTAGGTAGCTAGGTAGATGGGTAGGTAGGTAGGTATACTGGGACTGGGCCTCTAGGCGCACGCTGTAGGGGACACGGGCGATCGACTCCCTTGCTTTGTTTGTTGGCTGTCCTTGCTTTGCACTACCGGTAGGTAATAGTGGAGGTCGTTAACTGGAACACTCTATGCAACCCCCGTGCCATCGATTGGATATCCGTAGCACATAAACACGTTGCACGGTGGGAAATGTGCTAGATTTGGCAGCACATGGACCCCCGCTGCCGCCGCTGGAATTCTCGGCCAGCCCTCGTCCCCCTTTGCCCGCTGTACGGTGCATGTAGGGATACCTGGTTCCCAGAAAGTCGACATGGTACCTAGGTAACGTAGACCTTAGTGTTACGACGTGGCACGGCTTCCAGATACTTGTCCCGGTACGGACGGGCATTGGTGACCCTGTTCCGGGGTTGCAAACAAGCCCCCAGTCGTCGACATCTGATCCAGGGACCAGATCGGCTCCGTAGCCCGAACCACGAGACTGACGCCTACCTACGTGGCCGCGATCGCGTCGATACCTACGGATACTGTTTTAAACACCGGTCCGGCCTCCTTGTCTCTTTGCGTCGGCCTGTCTGGCATTCGTGGCCCGCCGAGCCTCTCAAAATTGCTTCTGGCCCCCTCCAGTTCGCAAGCCCCGGGGCCCAGTGGCATCTGGTCTCGGTCGCTGTGAGACGAAACATGAAAACAACGGACCCGTCATCAGAGTCCCACATCATCATCATCATCATCATCATCATCATCATCGTCATCACCACCATCATCATCCATTCCTTCTGTTGGTAGCCGCCTCTCGACGTCCCCGAGACCAGTCTTGGGTCCAACGTGCCCGTCTGGCCTGGTCGGGCATGGCATCGAGGTGCCTAGCCTGTCTGTCTGTCTGCTGCTGCCAACCGCCGCCGCCATAATCTCACTACCGTCTCACCATCCATCTCGAGCATTCGCTCTGTCGGGACATCCTCCGGTGTGCGCTACTAAACTAGAATCGGAGGACAACGTTATCAAGGTTATCGGCAAAGACCGAACAACGACAACAACAAGAAGAAGAAAAACAACAACAACAAGAAGAAAAACAACACGAGACGCCGGGGAAGGGGCGGTATATGGGATGGCACATAAGTCGCCGGAAAGATGTTTTGCCTCTGAGCCATCTAACTTGGAGCTGAACAGAGAGGCTTTGTCATCCCGAGAATACATACCTACTCTGGAGGGCATACAAAACACGAGAGCACGCAGACAGACACAAACCACACACACCCACCACCACACGCGGCTACTAGCAAAAACCTTCTCCAGGATGCCACACGACGATGGGGGGATGCTCGATGCATGTGAGGGCGACAACCCCACTCTAATCGGGAGACGGCCCACCCCCCCCCCCCTCGAGCTTCCCAGAAGAGGAATGGCACATCCACGAGGGCGTACGGAGTACGTATCGATACATGTGCGAGGCCAGCCTTTCTGGAAGTCATGGGGCTCGCAAACACAGGGATGGCGATCGTGGGCCGAGACATACAGACTATGTACTCGCTACAGCCGAGTCCGGGAAATAAGAAACGTGAACAACGCCCATGCGTGCCCAAAACTCCCCGAATAGAGTTCGGCCTTGCCGCCTACGCGGCCATGTAGCACCATGGAGCCAGCAGTCTGCAGGGTAGAACAAGGAGACGGATCGGGTGACGCCCCCCAAGCACGCTGTGCGAGGACTGAGTCGAGGGTACTCGGCCGTCAAGTACTGCCTCGCCTGGCTCAAAGCGGACGGTATTGTACAGAGCAACCCCCCCATGTGCACTGGCTGCTCCCTCTTGGAGGCGTGGGCTGGCGCGGTGCATGCACTCACTCACTCGATCGAGCTAGGTACTGCTACACTTTATTCAAGGAGCGCCCTCCTGCCATGGCGATACAGTACCTTCCCGACCTTACCTTATTTCCAGGTTTGAGGACACCCCAAATGCGCTGTATGGTTTGGAAGATAGGAGGTGGTGGGTGAGTAACAGAAGAAGACCAAGGCGGAGTGGATGGTGGATGGTGGCTGCTGATGACGACGTTCTCTCCCAGAGCCGCCTTCGCATCATACCAGTCCGCTCTTCTTGCCCTGCCGCCCGTTGCTTCTGCAACTATTGCCGCCGTATCTTCTTTTGTGGATGAATATCGGGAGTCGGTTCTCCTTGCTGTGATGGCGGGACGACGTAGGAAAAGGAAGAGAGAGTTACATGTTAGTACCATGCCATTTAGTGCCATCCACCGGGTATGTGCGAGCGAGCCTTAGGGGGGAGATGGAAGATGGAGAGAGAGGGAGAAAGAGAGAGAGAGAGAGAGAGAGAGAGTAAAAGAGTTTAACTTCACCCCCCACCCCCACCCCTTGCCACACCTTCTGTATCCATAAACCCTGTCCTGTCTTGCCCTGTCCTGGACTTGTCCTAACCTGTCCTGTCTGTCCCGTGCATCCTCTCTGCCCCGACCCGACCCCCGGACGAACGCCGTCGTCTTGCCGCTACCCCCCTCCGCTTTCCTTACCACCACTGCAGTGTATCCGTACACTATTACCCTCTAGAGGTACTTATCTGCTCATGCCCAAGTCGCCCACCTTTCCACCCACCTAGCGCTCCCGCTTGTTCTATTCCATCTTATCCCCTCCCACCCCAGCTCCCCATTATTCAAACTGGACTGCCTTGAGCCCGGCTGTCTTCCTCCACACTCGCCTTTCTCTGCCTGCCTTATAGCACCTTCACCTTCGACTTTACCAGACGTCCTCCTTTTCCTTGTCCCTCGACTTCGTCCTATACAACCTTCCCTATCCCATCCTCGTCCCCTTGCTCGGTTTTTCCTTTCACCATCTCCCCGCTCGTTTACTGTCAACCCCCTCTACGATTCGACCGGTCTGCGCGCGTCCAGACGCCTTTCGAAACACAGCCGTCGCTTTTGCATGTTCAGCATAATCCAACTCTCATCTTCCGCGCCAACTACCTCTACCAACTAACCGCCAATTATTGATCCCCTCGTCGCTATCCAACCGCATTGTTTAGCACAACTACAAGGCCTTCGCGTCGTCTTCGTACCCGGCCGTGATTCTCTGGCACCAGTTTTCAGACGACTTCCGAATCACATCATGGACACGCAGCGACCAAGCTCTCAGAAGCTCCCCGCGGGATTGGCTGGTGTTTTGAACCCGGACGAGAACCGCGACTCGGCTTATTTTTCCTGTACAGATGCCTCGAGCAAGCGTATGTTGACCAAGAGCCAACAAGACGTGCCTTGAAATCAAGCGTGACTGACTCGATACTCGTGCAGACAACTCAACCGCCTCAGGCATGGGCACCAATGTCCTCAGTCCCACCGGCTCCAGCTACCAATCTTCGCTGGCGGATAAGACACCCTCACCTGTCACCGCAAACATGGTTCCTCAGCCGCTGGTGTCCCCTGCCCAAAGCAACATGAGCGTTGCTTCGATGGTGTCGCCAACTGTCAACGGCACTGACCCGCGTCGAGTCGAGCGCCCGACGTCATTGGACTCCGGTATGGCCCACGACTTGATGGGTCCCGGGTCTCGCAGAGAGAGCGTCGACAGTAGAATAAACCAGAACTTTCACGACATGAGATTGGGCGGCAACTCCCCGTACGCAAGCCACAATCAATCGACAACCTCGATCCAGAACACCCTTAACCAGCAACGCAACCCCCGTAATGGCCTCGACAACCTTTCTGTCCACCGCATCTCCAACGGATACCAACCGAGCAACGACAGGAACCCCGAGAACCCCAAGATCATTCGGACTGCTCCAGCCATCACCGGTCCCGCGACGAGTAATATTGCGAGAGCGGCGGAGCCCACAAAGGGTCAGGCATGGGCGTTTCCCGAGGAGGACATACAGCGGATCGGCCCCAATGACGCGTACCTCGACTCCAGGCGAAGCAGCATTGCTGAGTCAATAGCCAGCAGCCAGTTTACAACGGAATCGAGACTGCCCCCCGGCCAGAGGCGCCTGGACGAGCCTGCTGACTTCAATAACCGTCTGTCAAGCACATCTTCCGAGTTTCCTCCCGTTCACCATCATTCGTTACAACACAAGCAAATCGGGGACCTGCGCGATGACGATGCGGCCTCGCGTAATGGCTCCCAGCCGTACAGTCGGACACCCGAGCTGCGTAAAAGCCATAAGCTGGCGGAGCGGAAGAGAAGGACGGAAATGAAGGAGTTGTTTGATCAGCTGCGCGACCTGATGCCACAGGAGCGCGGTTCCAAGGCATCCAAGTGGGAAATTCTTACCAAAGGTTTGTGCTCCCTCTCTTACCCGTGAAGGACCACGACCCGAAGCTGACATGCTATAGCAATCTCGGAGCATCAGCGAATGGCTGAGGTCATGCGGATCGTACAGTCGCAAAACACGACGCTCGCCCAGGAGAACGACGGTCTTCGACAGGATAACCACAACCTGCGCGTCGACATTCAACGTATGCAAAACGAGTTGCACAGCCTGCGGCTACAGCAATCTCCGACAGGCCAGGCCCCAGCTCAGTCGCAAGCCGCCCCTCCGCCGCCGCCCTCGGCTGCCTACCAAACAGATCCGTATGCGAGTCGTCGTGAGCTGCCACCTATTCGGGGCTTGAACGGCAACATGCCCAACGGGCCCGACTCGATGACTGGCGTTCAATACGAAGCCCCGAGGGTTAACGGGTACCGTGCTGAAAGATACTGAGTCCCGTGGACTTGAGACGTGTTGGACGAATCATCATTCGAGTTGTGGGCCTGGATCACCGACCTACCTATCAATACCCTTTGCAACATATTTGCGGCCTGGATTGCAGGTCTGCGTGTCCTGATACAGTTCTATACCTACACCGGAAGGCATCGCGCACCGGGATGCCCCTTGGCGGCTTGTTTCTTATGTTTTTTTTCTTTCTTTTTCTTGGTTGATTGTGTCAGTTCTAGCAGTGCACCAAGGGCTCGTACCTTTGGTTGGCCTGACAGGGAGGGACGGCGTTATACCCTCGTCCTTGGGTAGTGGGCAAACAAAAAGTCGGACGGCGCGAGTTCTTTCGTGTGTATTTGGAGGGTCAAAGCTCGATATGGGATGACAGAGGCCATGGCGGGATCGGGTTTGACTGTCTGGTGTATATATCCACGCGATGGTCTGGGGAAGAAGCGAGGCAGCGGCTTCGCCAAAGGACGCTTGATATGGTCTACTACTTTGTGTTGGGAAGACAATGGAACTTATGGGGGAGAAACCGTACAGCGGGATCAATTGCCTCTGGAGAGGAGCAATTCGATTTAAATCCAGTCCATCTGAACAGGCAGCAGAAAAAAAGAAGAGGTTTAGCAAACAGGCGACGTTGGGTTGAGTTTACTGGGGACGAGCCCTAAGCCTCTCTTCCTGTCAGCCAGTGTAGTGTGTGACTTATGGATTATGATTTTCCTCCTAGACGAGACTATCGTGATGGATGAAATTAAAATGCAAAAAAAGCTACACGTTGATATGAAACCCACGGCGACGACGCGGTAAGGATACTCTAACTTGGAGATCATGATGCTCTGTCGAAAGAGCTCTCTCGGCAGGGGTGGTGAGCAAGTGATTGTGGCTCCGAGTGGGCCGGCACTCGGAGACTGGAAGCTAATGCCCAATAGGGGCTAGCGTTTGCTAAACATCGGGACCCTTGACACGGCCATGCCAAAATTTCTGTTCCTCGTTCTCCTGGGCGACTTCACCTACCTGCATCGCACCTTTCGCCGTCAACTCATCATCTCTTCCCTTCCCTCCAGATCAATACATCGCAAACTTCTTCGCCTTAACTTTCCGCAATAATGTAAGAGACCATGCAAAGTACCTTTTGTATAGAATCAGTTGAATCAGAAGCTAATCGTGGACCTTCACCAATGGTAGGCATTCCATCCGTCGTGCGGCTACCCGCGCAACCCTGACCAGCTCGGTCTTCTCCGCCGCCGCTGCTGGGTCCAAATCGCAGACCATCTCGTCCGCTCTGCGTGCCCTCAGTGCGCCCGCCATCTCTTCCAGATATTTCTCTGTCGCCGCCCCAAAGGCGTTTTCCCGTTCTGCTGCGTTCCGCGACGAGCAGCCGCGGGCCCTGCCGGAGAGAGAAAATAAGCACGTCCTCTTCGTCCAGAACTACTCCTTCGATGTCAAGCCCGATGATCTGAAGGAGGCCTTTTCCAAGTATGGTGAGGTTGTTGGCGTTTCGATGCCGCCTAAAAAAACGTGAGTTTATCCCCGTTGTACCCGACGTCCCATGTGTGTTGTCGCTCTTCATTTTTCAATGCGGAAGAAGAGGGGGTGTATATGGAATCGTTACTGCCAACGGAGCGAAGGCTTATTCCTCACCCCGCGTATAGTTTCTGCTTCATCTACTACAAGGATGCCGAGTCGGTCACCACGGCCTCCGAGAACGTTAACGGGACCTTCTGGTACGGCCGCCGCATCGTTGCCAAGCCCCAGGAGCCTCGCGATAGGACCTCTGAGCCTCAACGCCGCGGCGAACGAGCGAACCGCCCGCCCCGCGTCGGCCGGGTCCACGATGGCTCACCCACCACCACGCTGTACGTCGGCAACATTTCTTTCCAGTCCTCGGACGCGGATCTGAACAACCTCTTCTCAACTCTTGATGGCGTCAAGGACGTGCGCGTTGCTGTGGACCGCGCGACAGGCTGGCCGCGCGGCTTCGCGCACGCCGACTTCGTCAGCGTCGAGGCTGCCACAGCTGCCCTGGAATCGCTCAAGGGCGCGCGGATCCTCGACCGCGAACTGAAGGTTCAGTTCGCGCCGCCGTCCCTAAAGGAGACGGACCGCCACGATCGCATGTCTCAGAAGTCCAAGTCGCGCGGCCACAATTCGCAGGCGGAAGTTGAGCAGCGCGTCGAGGCTGAGCACGAGCAGGCCGAGGAGGCTCAGAAGGAGCAGAAGCCTGAGGCCGGCAAGCAGGACATGAACTGGAACGCCTAAGTTCTGCCAATCTTCAAAGTCGCGACAGAGAAAAGGTCCGATCTAGTGTAAGAGATGAGGGTTGACTCGACAGCTGTTTTTTATAAGGTTCTTCTGTCGTGTTGTATTTTTTTTTTTTTACTTTACTACTACTTGGTTTTCTCGTGAGCCACAGACGGGACTTCGTGGTGAGGTGGAGGAAGCAGGGATGGTCAGGCTTGATCATGATGTGTCAAGAAATAACAAGACGATGGATGGCACGGCAACATGAGACGGAAGTTGCTGCTGGGACTCTATCAAAATGAACGGAGAGGAGGTGGTGGTGCCGCAAAAGACGTTGTATCATATGAAACTTATAGAAAAGGCCATGACGACGGCTTCTTCTTCTTTTTGCATGCATGACGGCTTCTCATACATGCTAGGAACAAAGTATAATCTCTTCTTTACAGACCCGTGTTCTTGCCATTTGTTTCCCGTGCCACACACCTCTTCCCCTTCCCACATGCCGTTTTGCAAAAGCCCGGCTTCATCACCCCACAAACTGTTGCTTCCGCCATGGACGGGACGAGGACGGAGAAGACGAGACACCGGCCAGCTACCGGCCTGAGATGCTTGCGGGGACGGCCTCCCCGTTCTGCTCCTGCTGCTGTTGATCGATCCCGGGCTCTGGTCATCAACCTGATCCGTCTTCCCTCCCCGCCCCCCCTTGCCTTCTTTCCTGCTCATGACTTTCGGCATGAGCTACACGGGGCCACTTGGGTGAAAATCCCCATTGACTGGACTGGACTAGCCAGACAAGGTTTGTTGTTTGCTCACGCCCGGCCCCGCGATCTCGGCCCGTCCGACTTCGAGTCAGTTTCGGCGGTATTTTTATTCTTCTGTCACCACCCCCTCAACCTTTATCTGTTGGGTGGGCCGGGGGAAGGTCCTGCCACGCGGGAGAGGCTTCCCAGCAACCCTTGGATCGCTGCGTCGGTGTCGCCGTCAAGTCGTTCTGTTTTCTCGGCCACCCCTCCCGGCTTCAAATGTGACGGTGTCAGCAACACCACCCCCCCCCCCCCCCCCTTTTTTTTTTTTTTTTTCATATTTCCTTCCCGCTCACCCGTCCGCTCGCCCCACCGCCGCCGCAGCCGCCGGCAGAGCAAATTGCCCGTTTAGGAGGTGCATTTCACCAACGCCATATGTGTAGAGGAGGGTTTTCCCCGTCCGTCCTGGGCTGGGGAGGGGACATGTGGCTGGTCCGCGCTTGGTCGGAGCCCGCCAAGGTTATACAACCCACATACCCACAATAGATTAAGCCCCCCACCTCACCCACCCACGGGCAAATTCTCTGAGCAAAAAAACAAAAACAAAAAAAACAAAAAAAAACACCGGATACTTGCACGTGTTACGCAAAAGTGACTTGACCAGCCTGGGGGTCGAACCCAGAATCTCCTGATTGCACGAGCTTTGTTGAAGTCGTAGTCAGACGCCTTGCCATTGGGCCAACCGGCCGCTTCCACGTAGGGACTTGAGCTTGTGGTTTTCTCGGCAAATAGCTAACTATGAATGAAAATTCTGTCCTGACTGGTATTTGGCGGTTACCTTCAAGCCAGGTGGGGTCATCGCCGACACCTAGGAAGCTATCGTACGTAAGGGAACAGCATCACAGGAGAACAAATAACATGAGAGTTTCTTCCATTATGCACTAAATCCAAGAGGGCGGAGGGGAAGGAAACCTGTTGTTGCCGTTTTACCTAAACTGAACTGGCCGGCCAGATAGATTGGGGTATGGGGCTTGTCGTCAGTAAACAGAAGCTCTGCAACAATATGCATTTGCAAAACGCAGATTCTCATGATAGACGTCATCTCATTCATTCTTTCCAAGTTACACACATGATAGCTACATGTTTGGCGAGCCCATCGCTGTTCCTTCCGTACCTCACGACGGTGACTAAAAGTCGAACTCGCCTCTGAAGATCTCGGGGTCCACACCCGCAACCGTCTTCTCGGCCAAATCTCGTCGTCCCATCTGCGTAAACACCCTTCTTAGAGTGTCGTAGAGCGTCGTGCTCCTGTTTTGCGCTGTCATGCGATCGATCTGCTCGTCGATTTGAGCTGCGCTGGTACCGCCGCGCGAGCTGTCGCCACTGCCCAGGATCTCGTACGCCATGCTACGGCCGCTCTTCTCAATGGCCTTGTGCATGTTGAGCGCTGCGAGGAAGTGCGACGCAGCCTCAGCGTGACAGCCAATATTGATGCAGCTTACGCCAAGGTTGTAACGGGCACGAACAAAATTGGGATGGATGCTCAACGCCTTCTCGTACGCCGCAATAGCCTCCTCTGAGCGCCCAGAGTTGGCGAGGGTAGCACCAAGGCGATTCCACAGCAGATGTAGCTGTTCTTGCTGATTTGAGGTTCCAAGTTCCGACGAGTGGAGAGCCGCCGTGAAGCAGTCAACTGCCTTATCGTACTCTTCAGCACCGTAAAAGAGAACACCCAGACCGACCTGAACGTCGGGGTCCATGTGTTCACCATCCGGGCTGAGTTGAGCAGCCTTAATGAATAGGCCGGTCACCTTATCGTGCAGTTGTTGCCGGTCCGTGAATCCCATTTCGGCCATGGGGTGCAGGTCCGTTGGTGCGATGATGTTTGGATATTTGACCGATAGCCACCGTTCGAGTGTCCGGTAGGCGGTGCTATCGTATCCCTCATTGGTGTAAGAAACTGCCAGACCCATAAGAGCGGCCAGATTGTTGGGATCTTGCTTAAGCGCTTGCTCTAGCGCACGAATTGCCGCAGTCTCCTTCTCGTTCTGCGCCTGTGCCGAGCCCAGGTATACCCATGCCTCTGTGTGCTCTGGGTTTTGCTGAACGGCCGCCTCGAAAGCTAAAGCTGCCAACGACAGGTTTCCACCCTCGCGCATAATGCGTACGCCTTCTTCAAACGCGTTCTTCTCCTCACTGAAGAAGTTGTCCTCCTCAAAAAGGTAGTTTTCGATTACGGGATCGCCCAACCGACCCCAGTCGCCGTTCATGCCGCTGAAGTCTGGACCCCAGTCTTCGCTGTCGAACTTGTCGAATGTCGCGTCTTCGACCATGCCTTTTGCTGCAGCAGTTTCAGCCTGAATTCCCCTCCATATTGACTCGAAATCGCCGAAGCCTGTCTCACTTTGCATTGCCCGATCCATTTCCTCCAGTTCAGGCTCCGCTGCCCGTGCCTCGGCGTCTTCCTTCTGCTGCAGTTCCATCTGCGCGAATTGTTCTTCCCACTTGTTGTCGTCAAGTTCCACAAGCTTTCCCTTGCCCTTAGCATCCTCGTGCTGCGGTTGTTGTTGTTGCATAGGTTGTTGGTACATGGGCTGGAACATACCCTGGCCCATCATGCTGTTGTATCCCATGCCCATGCCCATGCCCATGCCCATTCCCATTCCCATCCCTATTCTCGATTGCTGGGCCATCTGACTGGGCATCGGGCTTGCTCTCGCCGATGACGACTGATGGGCCATCACCTGATTGAAGCGCGCAAAATCCTCGGGGCTGAACTGTGTCCCTTGGGGTGCGTTGAAAGCCGATTCCATAGCGGCTTGCTTCTGGAAGTCGTTCGCCCATGTCGGTGATGTCGAGTTCGCGCGGAGGTGCACACCTTGGGCAGGGTCTATTCGGACAGCGCCGTTCTGCATGGGAATCTCTTGTTGAAGACCAGGTGCATTGTTGAGGAACCCGTTCATCATCTGAAATACCGTCAGTTCACAATCATCCATGTCTAAAGCTATGGGGTGCATCTACCTCATCCTGCGGGGTGCTTGCGCCAGCGCTTCTGAAGCCGCCGGCGAGAGCGTTAGGACCTCGCTGCACTAGTTTGTCCCTCTGTAGACTGTTGTCATCCTGAACATGTTTCTGAAACTGGCTGAGAGGGTTGCCCGAAGTTGAGCATTCTGCGCCACCGAGAAACGACATGGCCACGGTCGCAGGTCGGTTGCACTGGTAGCGTTGGGTAATGTAGGATCGCCGGGACTGTAAGCAATGTCTGGACCACGTCACACAGCAAGAAATGTGAGGATCAAGTTTTCGGAAATATCAAAAAGATGGGCGAGTCACTTGTGGGTGAGAGAAGCAAAGTTCGTAGGGAAAACGGACTAGTTTGTAATTTGGGCTATGGCTGAGCAGTTGCGTCTCCCAAAGATACCGAGGCTGGCCGGCGGGGGTTTGGGCGGCAACGGTTGATTGCTTTCTCCGCAGCCGGAGGCGGGGTAACCAATCAAATGACTATTCTGGGGAGCAACCGATAGTGGGGGAGGCCCTGACCCTGGCTGCCCGAGCTTGTAACTCCGGCGCGCGCATGTGAGCAGCACATGGATATGGAGAGAAACATGTTACTGTCGCTGTGAGCTGAAACAGTCGTTAGTCACCTTTCGCATGGCATTCGAGCATTGGTGGTCTACCAGCGTGTTTCAAATTGGCACTGGTATACCGAGCTGGATTCGGTGAAGGAGATTGGTATCACCCTATCTGTATATGCTCACGAAATTGCATGGAGCCTCATTGAAACGGTGATATCCCCCCGGCCCACAGCTTGCAGCCGAGATCTTGGCTTCCTCCCAAAAGCGGCTATCCTTTCTATACCTACCATGACATAGGGTATCATCTACGAATATCAACCAGCTTAGCAGCCGCCGCCAATGTGTGTGTTGTTCCTTTCAAGGGTCCCGTGTGCTGGTGTCGGGTTACAGTAGTGTTCATATCCAGATCCCAAGACGTTGGATGGACATCATGACCCCTCCGAAACCAATTCTCAACCCCCGAATGCCCGGTCTAAACCTATTTCACGCCAATGAAGCCGATGCTCTGTCTGGCCTTCCTGACTGCACGTCGAAGGGCTTGCTCCTCATCGTCCGTCCACTTGACAGATAGCTGATCCCACTTCTTTCCAGGCGTGTTGTACTCCCGCTTCCATTGTGAGTGCAATGCCTGGAGTCTGCTCATCTCGCGAGGATCGCCGGAGCCCGTGTATACGATGAATGCAGTGCAGGGCGGTAGGGAGGCATGGATGGCCTGGAGAGAGGCCGAGAGGCGGGCTAAGCACTGCTCAAGAGGGGATTTGCCGAGCTTTTCGTCAAGCTTTGTATCAAAGGCCGGAGGCCCGCCATCACCGCCAACACTCTCCACCCGGTTCTTGTTCCACCAGCCTTGCAACGCCTCAAGCTCTCGCATCCGACCCCAAACGAAGTCGACGCCGCCGCCTGGAATCTCCAGCCCGTCCGGATCGCCCTTGATGGCACGAATGACGCCGTTGACAACATCTGCGTCAGATTTGCAACCTATTTGGTAGGTCGCTCCAGCACCAGGACCCTTGGACGGGTCACCCCAGTCCACGGCAGCACTTGTCTTGCCCGTGACTAGACCGCCTGCCTCGCCGCCCTGCGCCTTGTATGCAGTTCCAGCCCGGGCAAGCCGGCGAAACAGGTTCTCGCCCTGGGAATCGGACGCGCCCCACATCTTGCCCTTCTCGCATTTTTGTCTGACAAGATCAAGACAAGCCCGAGCATCCTCAATAGGGTTATGTCCATTGGCACCGCCTTTCTGGATCTCGCGGTTGATGTATTTCTGAGTAAGCCACTTGAGCGACGATTTGAGAGGCGGGCCTCTCGGGTGGGGGTAGATGAGGGAAGTATCGACTATAAAAGGGTGAGAGAAACGAAGGGCTTTCAAGTCGGACTCAAGCGAGTGGCCAATCAGGATGGTTCGTGGAGTGATGAGGTCAAGGAGCTTCTGTTGAATATCCTTGAGTGTAGTCGTCACCGGCTTCAGCATCTCCTCTGTGATACCGGAGAACTGAGTGACGTAGTTGGTAATGGGCTTCTCTGGCTTCACCAATTCGTCCATGATCAAATCTCCTGACCATGAGATAACGCTGATGCGCGTGAGAGAATACTCGTTCTCGCCTGTCATGCACATCTCGCAGTCCAACGCGAGACATTCTCGGCCAGCTGTCACGCTGCCCTGCTCAATCTCCGCCTCGGGCACTTCGCCATCTTCAAGCTTGTCGACTTTGGAAACGGCCCATCCCTCTGGAACCTTGAAGCTCGCTCTCTTATCTTCGTTCTCGATGAGTGCTGGGTGAATGAGGTGACCAGCGGTCTCCAACTCTTCGAGCGAAGCCAGAAATTCGGTGATACGGGTTCGCTCGTTCTTCCAGCCACTGGGTTCCCGCGCCGGCTTAGGACCCTTTCTGTCATCCTTGTTCTTGGGCATAGGTGCGGTCAGGAAGGTGGCCATGGGCGAATGAAGCTTCATGTACTTGTCGTCGCCAGGTGCCTTGACGGGCCAAAGATGGGGAAACATGCTGGCGAACCCCTGGAGCGCGAGCGGGAGGCGTTCAGCTGAAAGAGCACGGGGATAGTAGTCGTCAGGCGTCGTGTCTGTCCGGTCTTGATCGCGAATCGGGCCGGACGTATACTTGTCGAAGTCCACGGCCTCATTAAACATGGCTTCCTCCAACCCAGGTATCATCAAGACCACAATCTTCCTGAAGTTCGGTCGGTGCGATACGGAGACCCAATTGGGACCCGTTCCATCGGCGAAAAGGTAGAGAATAAGATCGCGAAGCATGGCAAGGTTGATCTTGGCAAACAGTTTCGCACTTGAGGAGAAGGTGATGGCGGGATAGTTGCTGGATCCCTCGCGAGGGACTTTCTTGCGCTTCTTATTGGATCGCTCGACCTTTGTCCATCCCTCGCTGTCATCGTCGGGGGCAGATCTTTTCAGACTTCCACTGCTTTGACTCTGCGACGAACTTTCACGCGATTCGGATTCGCCATTCACTGTCTTGCTCTCGACTGTCGATTGTTGCGGCTGGCCAGCAGCAGTTGTCTCGGCCACTTCGCCATCGCTTTCGCGGTTCCTGCGATTCTTCCCCATGTCCGTTTTGTCTCCTATGATGTCGATACTCAGCTGAAGGATCGGACGCAGGAAGCGCTGAAATGCGGCCAGGAAGATTGTGGGCTAAAGCTGGGTGAATTTTCGCATTGGCACCCAGCAAAAAAAAAGTCGCTTGAACTGGAAAGTGCAAATGCGATGGTCAATTATGGGCTTTGCGGGGCGCGCCAATGAACATGGGTTGAGATAAGATAAGATACCGGGGCAGGGGTCCTGGTCAGCAACTGAGCGATCAGACAAGCTGATAATGCCCCCCCCTTGACAACCCGAGAGTACCGTGCGCGCTGGCCCGTGCAGGCTTAAGCTGACAATAGATACAGTTATAGCCAATAGATAAGGGTATAGATAGAGGGAAAAAGTGGAAATAGAGGCAAAAAAACAGGGGCAACAGAGGGAAAAAGTGAAAATAGAGGCAAAAAAATAGGGGTAATAGAGGTAACAGAGGGAAAAAAGGGATGGTCTTGGCCCATCCCGACCCGGAGCGCAGCGGAGGAAGCAGTGTGGGATAGACTATTCCAACCCTCCCCGGCGGAGCCGTTTTGGAATTACCTAAAGAAAAAGTCAGAAAAAGTCAGAAAAAGCTAGGATTGAACCCATGGCCTTTAGATTATTAGGAGCACTACTTACTGCTAGACTATATGGAGCGAGAAGAACGAAACTTCTTGTTTTTCTTGGACCTATAGACCTTTGTGACGTGTGTGCGCGTATCTATTGGTTAGAGCCTTATCACCTACTCCACTGTCAGCTCAACTGTGCACGGGCTAGCGCGCACGGTACTCTCGGGTTGTCAAGGGGGGGGCATTATCAGCTTGTCTGTAGACTCTCAGGAACTCACCACCAAAAAGGTGAAAGCGGTCGGTGTTTTTGCAACCCGCGTGCCGAGCTAGCGCTGATGTCGCAACATAGGTAACTGTTGACTATGCGGTTCCTTTCCACCAAACCTTGACCAAAGCCTCTATAAATCATCTAACCAGGCAAACAACCCATCTATCCCACGTCCGTTGCCATATCCGACTCGGAACGATCTGTTGCAAGCAGAACAACCGTCATCAGAGTCACAGCAGGAGCTTGCTCGCGCAAAGAAAGTCACCCAGGTCAGTCTCAACATGTCGAAATTTGGATATGGTTAGTGTTCAGGCGGGAATGGCACAATTGAGATAGGTTAATGAACAAGACCGTTCAAAGAGGTTGAAGGGTAAATTCACATCACGAATTCAGAGGACTCGACATCCTGGCAAGGAATATCACCAAGATCGGAGCTCGGTCGAACCAGATCGAGTCACTGCCTATGGAATCCAACCTCTTCAAGAGCAGGATTTGGTGATTGTAGTTGGGCGCAGACGCGTCTGCACAAGGCCATAGCCCGGTCATCCACCCGGAGCTGCGTTTCCGAAAGCCAGCATTGAGACGATGAATGGCGACTAGGATCATGGAGAGCAGGCTCAAATCACCAGAAAGGCCACTACACCTTCATCCCCTCTTCTACCGTCTCTAAGTCGTAAGCGAAAGGCGCCCACAGAAGGCACAAACACCCTCAACGGTATAAGTGTTAAGATACCAAAGCCCTTCCAGTCTGTCAACGATGATGGTTGACAATAGCACCGATGGAAACACCGAAAATCTCGATTCGCACAACTTTGGCCCGTTCCCCTAGATAAGGGGTATCATTAGGTGGATAAATCGCGGTCCTGGCCCAGGTCTACATCTAACACAGCTTTCCCAAGCTCGGACAGCGTTTTGATCGGCTCCGTCAAACTGTATTTGAAGAAATCCTCCATCTCCTTGGGGTCCTTTCTCCACGCATTGATTAAAGCGTTCTCCTTTTCTCGGCCTGGTAGACTTTCAATATCGCTGAGCATCCCCTTGGCCAAGATAACGACTTCCCAGTCGGCCGACGGCGCTTGATGGCTACACATATCGATTATCGCAAGAACCATCTGACACAAGGAGACTTGGTCCAGGTTTTCTAGAACCTTAACACCTGCTTTCGAAAGCCTCTTCGTCTCGGCCATGTCTCGGGCGAGCTCCGTGAGCTTGGTTGGGTTTGGCGCAGTATTGGACAGCGCGATTGCGATTGAGGACAAGCCCTTCAGTCTCTGGGGGTGAAACGGGATAACATGCTTGAACGGCTCGATCTCGTAAGCTGACAAGCATGCGATTGCCAAGGCGCACTCGTGGTTATTACGATCCTTGCCGAAATAGAAAGCAGCCTCATCCACAAGCTGTGCGAATGGCTCGATGGCGTATTTGCCAACTTTGGGAAACCATAGTGCTGTCTTGTAAGCTTTCCTCAGCCATTTGTGCTTCTCGTTTGACATCATACTACGAGGAAGCACAGGGAAGACATTCTGGAGCTTCATAACCTCTGCTCCCTGTAGGGGATCAGAGTTGCCACCTCCGGGAGGATTCTTGAGTCTCTCAATTTCGGGCATGACACTGAGCGTGTTAAGCTCAACCGCAGGATCTGCCATAGCGACCTGGTATTCGTCTAGATCGTGCTGGCATTTGCTGCAATGACACTCGAAGTGGTAAAGACTGAGTTCGTGTTGTCTTCTGCTCTTGGGCTGTGTTTGGTCTGAAGCGTGTTAGCCAGAAACTAGATCATCACCGTTGCGATATGATCGAGTGTAGTCCCTACCAATGTATGAGATTTCAATCTCACTGCCAGGGTGTATGAACGATGCGGAACGGAGTGTAGCCGTCCTGCCACCAAATTGAACCAGCGCATTTGGCACACATGAGTGGTTGATCATGGCCAGTGTAGTGTCCAAGAAAACACCGCCAGTTTCGTAGTATTCCTCCGACCGGCTGAACGCATTCGTCTGAAGCTGCACATTGAGTTCATCAGCACCTACAACCAAGTAACGCCACGGACAAGACCAAAAAAACCAACCTTGCACAAAACCTGAAAAGCTGCCTCTAGCGCTTCAAAAGTGCCCATGTCCAACCCAAGGCACCTCACAACACCATGCGACTGAAGCTGCAGATCCGTCTCACTCTTCTTTCTCCACTGCTCGACATGCCCCTCTAGCTCCCCGAACTGCGCTAGCACATGCGGTCGCAGCATGACCTGCGCCGCCGCCCTGATCGGCGTCGGCACCCAGGCCGGCTCGTCCGCTGGCTTGATTTCGTGCAGCCGCTGGATGGCCTTGCACTCGAGTTTATGTACCAGAGACCAGTTGGCCCGCTGGCACGCTGGACCGCAGTAGGCCACCGTTTTGCACCCCGTACATGCCCGGAGCTTCGGACCACCCGGCTGCTGCTTCTTAAGACAGTGGTTACAGTACTCGAGCGCGCGGTGGCCAGGCGGGAGCACGACGGCCGGTTCTTCGAAGCAGGCGATGACGTCGCCGGGCTTGAAACGGCGGGTTGCGTGGATGGAACGGCCGCCCTTGTCGCCGCCCTTGGTGCCGCGGACTTCGATGCCGTCATTTACGGCCATGTTGATGCCTCTAAGTTATTTGGGTGAGGAATCATGAGAACATAAAACAAGATGAAAAATAGAAATCACGGCTTACAGGTCGCGGTCGAGGGAAGTATCCCAACTTGTTGCTAAAAGGAATGCTTCTGCATGCGCCACACCCTCGAATGTGGCTAATGCAAGGTACGGGGTCATTGGGAGTCGCGATCTCAGATGAAGTGATCAGATGCCTGGTGAAGATCGTGGCGGTGCATCACCCACCTATTGTTCAGATGGAACTTCGCCGAATGCGCTACACAGCACATCACTGTTGTGCACGGGCCATCAACCCGCTCTTACCTTGCGACCCCGCCTCGTGCCTACTCCATCCCACCAACCTAACTCCCATTCTGCTGCTTTCTTGCTCCCTTCTTTCTTTTCTCACATTCACCAGCGAACCAACTCCATTCTTCAACCGCGCAAACCGAACCACTCCAAGGCCTCATTTGCCTATCAGTCCCAACCGCACAGGAGTTTTTCACCAACGCGCCAAACGTATCACTACAAAACTAGCCACACGCTCACGCGACAAAACTCTTTCTCATGACTACCATCGAAAACCTTAAGTCTATCGACCCCTTCGCGGACGCGGACGAGGGCGATGCCAACGACGCCCAGAAGAAGGGCCAGGACTACATCCATATTCGCATCCAGCAACGCAATGGACGCAAGACCCTCACCACCATCCAGGGCCTGCCCAAGCGCTTCGACCAGAAGAAGATCCTCAAGGTCATAAAGAAGAAGTTTGCCTGCAACGGCACCATCGTGGAGGATACCGACCTCGGCGAGGTCATTCAGCTCCAGGGTATGTTTGCGAAACATGAGCCAAGATGGAGGAGAGAATTCTAACGTTGGCGACACAGGTGACCAGCGCAAGGCTATTCACGACTTCCTCATTGACAAGCAGGAGGGTCTCGAGATGGACCCCAAGGTACGTCGACACTCCTATCCTATCGGGAGATAACCTCCACTCCCAAAATCTCTACAAGACACATCCGCATTCCCTACTTGAAGGCTCCAAGACATGCTAACCCATTCCTCTCCAGCTCGTCAAAGTCCACGGCTTCTAAACAAGCCGTCACTGCCAGGAGGCACTGTCTCCCCCTCGCAGCCGACCGGAATCCGGCGACACCAATATCCAGGGGAAACATGATACGATTACCGATCAGCTCCAACTACTTTCTCACATTATTTCTTCGGCTTGTCACGCAAAACCCTCGTAAAGAGGGCTTAAGCCGAATAGCTCCGAGACTGAGACAAAGGACTGCTCCGAAAGGTCGATCCCAAGAATTTGTGGGGATGGAAAACCGAGAGGGTCCCAAAGGTGCCTGCGGGATATTAACGCCACGATTTGATAACCTTTGGCCCGGGATGGAGCGCTTGGAGGTGACTCGGATTGCGTTTGACGTGCAGTGCTGGAAACTGGCAACGGGACTTGAACGGTCTTGATGAGGGCTCTTTCTTTTTGAGGACTCATTTTGACATGCACTCTTTCTGATTGTAGCCTGTACTTTATCCTGTTGTCGCAGGATCCAACGGCAGCTTAAGCAAGCATCGGATACGAACGATTACTACTTATGAGCAGCACGCTTGGTAATAAATTCGTTGAAGCCAAGTTCTGCTATCCAAGGCTCATCAGAAAGTTAGAGATTCTGTCACTGGGACGCCCAAACTTTCCTTGAGCATCACGTGAATTGACCGTACCTGTCTACACCAGCCACTCAAAATCCCCATGCCTCATTGCACTCTTTAGCGTCCCCTTTGTTTGGTGACTGTAATGTCTACCTAGGTAGGTTTTGAACAATGTGGTTGCATCTCCCATTTCTTCTACTTCTGTCTCTGCAGTGCTATATAGATCTTGTTATAAGTCTCGTGGCGATATAGGGAGGATAGAAACGACGTTGCCTGTACAGCTACTCGGGCTTACCGAGTGGCTGGCTTACGCCGCGTAACGTCATATAGAAGCCACTCTTTGCCGTGTTCGTGTTGACTTTTGGCCCTTAATGGTGGTATATGAGTGTGAATTTCTTCATCCCCCAAGCAAGCTTTTCTGGAGCTTGTTGCGTGCAGCTTAAATCTCAGCTATGAAAGGAGGAACTGGTATTTTCTTTGACAGCTACAGTTCCACAGACATGGTTCACTTTTACTTACTGGTTGGCTTTTTTTGTCGGTTCCATGGCCAGGATCTCGTCCCATGTTACAAGTGATGCCGTGGAGACAGCGAGAAAGTGTTTGACCTCATGCGATAAGCATAAATAATGATTCGACGAGATGTTACTGAGATGAATCTCTGAATTAGGGAGTAAGAGAAGAGATATAATGAAGTCTAGAGAAGAGAAATGATTAGAGACCTTATATGCCAAAAGCAAGAATAATTAGAGGAAATGGAGGCGGTGAAATTGCATCACATGAAGGGTTAACAAACGGTGTTAGAAAAGTGAACATGGGAGAGTAAACGGTGGTCAAGAAAAAAAGGGGCATGGAACTGGAAAGCTGAAGGTTGGGGGATCATAGTTGCATTAATAATAAGAAACTTGCCTGGACGCAGTGATAAGAGAAAGCTGTTGACAGAACCAAGCGGATGGATGTGACAAAAATAAAGCCATTGTTGACCGACTGGCAAGGGGTTTGCCGCCGCCTCCATCATCATGTTAACAGTCCTTGATCTTGCTGTCCGAGTCCGCCATAAAGAAGGCACAGCTTGTGGACAAAAAGATGATAGCAATCCAACGGTTCCAAATGAGGGAGCTCAAGGAGCAGCAACCATGACTAGAACTAGTGACTGCGATGGTGGCAAATACGTGTCAAGTGTGATAGGCCAGCTTCCATTCAACATGAGGCTTCATAAGATCTACAGCAAGGTATGTGGATATGCCGGAGGTCAAGTGTATGCTTGTGCTTCGTAAAGAATACGAGAGAACCCGATTTGCACCAGTTTGGCGTGCTGCAAGAAGAAATAAAACCCCTCAGTTTTAGACCGTTATCCTGTTGCATATTTGGGCACACAGGCAACATGGGCATTTTCCACATGCTTAGGAGAGGCCAACTGTAAACAAATGAACTGAAAAGCTTGATTCAACTTTAGGTTGATTTATGTAACGGTATCATACACCACCTCCCACTTATGCCTGCTTCTGCGCGGCAAGCTTCTGCGCTTTCCGTTCTTCCTCATCGAGATGCTGCTTCTTGTAGTGAGCAACAACGTGGTCCAAGTTGACTTGGGAACCCGCAACGACGTTGCGCGCGGCATGGCTGGACAGGGCCCTGGGCAGAAATTGCATCATTAGCATTGATCCTGTCGTGCCGTGTTCATCACTTCATCCCACATGATCACCGACCACACACAACTACTCCTTCCTCCCTCTCTTCTCTTCTCTCTCTTCCTCTTTTCACATCTGCCGTCAGAATGGTAGTTAACTTACTCAGGGAATCTAAGGTCGACATCACGGTTGGCAGGGGTGGAGAAGAAGAGTAGCCTGTCGAAGCCGGCCTGTTCAACCGCCTTGGTGTGCAGCGCGTTCCTCTCCTTCCACGTCTCCTGCCAGTGAGCGTACTCCTGGATCTTCTTGGTAAGGTACGGCGCCTCGCCATCCTTTCCGGGTGCGGTAATCTTGTAAACGACGTATGCGGAGGGGATGATGGCGACGACGGCCCAGAAGAACCCCTGCAAAAACAAGCGTTAGTCAATTGAGTTCTACCGCGACACGACGACAACTAAGGGGCGACGATTGGTCGCCAGGAAAATGGCTCAGTGCGTAGGACGTACTCCGATGGGTTCCTCGACGGCGTGGGCGTGGTGGCCGTGGTCACCTCCAGAGGCGTAGGATCTCGATTGGCGCAGGCCAGTCAGCCGTGACTGACGCGCCATGCAGACGGCCCGCGTTCGAATGGCCTGCATAGTGAATGCCGTTGCGGAGCGGTGTCAATTGACGATTGGGATTCGGGTTATTGAGAGGGGTGGCACGGCGTCGAATTGAAGGAGGGAGCTTCGGCGTGTGGAGGTTGAACCAAGGTGCTGTAGGAGCGTCACTTTTCGTGGATAAGCGCTGGCGCGCTCCAGCGCGGCTAAGCGCCTAAAGTCACCAATCATGAGCTGCCGAATTCAAATAAGTGAATTTGCCTCTTACTGGGGCATGTAGAGACAACTTGGTCAGACGGATGAATTCGACAGATTTCTATCTCGTGATGGTAAACTGTCCTTTTTCAGTAGTGACTCATTTCTGATTTATGTGTTTTTTATAAAGTTGCATGGTTTCTTGTCACGCCAACCCGTTGCATTCAACTATATCCGTTGACATCAGCCAGCGAAAGCACTTGGGTGTCCACCTGCAGCTATCAATCCTCATTTATACTGGGCTGTAGTCGAGTCGCAAAAGACTAGGGTGACGTCCTGAACCACACACTCAACTCAACGCAACTTCGAACTGTCAGACTTGTTTCATTCCACGAGATATCCCTCCCAAACGTCAAAGACCCTGTCAGTGTTCAAGATGACTCTGAGAAAGTCTACTCGCGTACCTCTCCTCCCTTTCACCATCTTTGTGGTAGTCTTTGGTCTCGTCTTCTTGGCATCGCCAGCATCAGCCTCCGCCTCAGCAGCACCAGCCGCACCCTCACCATCCGCCGACGTTGAACTCATCTGTCACACGGACAACGCGTCAGAATGTTATCCCAAGATCTTCCAACCAACAGAAGAGTTCCAAAAAGTTCACGATGACCAAGAACTACCACCTGGACTTCACGTACGCCTGAACATCTATACGGGCCTCAAGGAAGCCAAAATCAACGACCCTGACGAGAAGAACCCAGCTCTTGAGGACCTCCCTGTGGACCGTTCGGTGGTGGTCGTAGACTCGGACAAGGCCCCAGAGGTTGAGATCCACAAGGACGCGCCCAGGTATGAACCCGTCGGTAAGGTCAAGCAGCCACAACAGGAGTCGGGCGAGTTCTACACCCACCTCGAGTTCGTCAAGAAGGGCGCGCACGGGAGCGACCTTCCCATGGATGAGGCTCTCGAGTTCCTTGAGGATATCTCTCACGACATCTACTACGGGCTCAAAATCACCGAGACCTTTGACACCGTCAGGTCCCTATTCTGCCTAATGGTTGACCCCAAGACGCCGGCTCCATCCGAAGGCGCTGTGCCCCGTGACCAACAGGCCGCCGCCATCATCTCTGGCGCGCTGCAGAATAACCCCACCGCACTCAAGGAGGTGGCCAAGGTCTGGCCTCAGCTGATGGACGCCTCGTGCCGCTCGCCCAACAAGGCACCAGAACTCAAGCTCCGCGACGGGTTCTACGCCTCGTTCGTGCCGCCGCCGGAGGCCACCGATCACGACGTTCTCCGCGCGGCGAACAAGGCCAAGGCGCAGATCGCCGCGATCAAGGGCCTGACCAAGAGTCCGGCGATCCGAGACGACTTCATCGCCAACAAGGGCATGGACCGCATCCTCGAGGTCCTCGGCCCCCAGGACGCCCGGTGGGAGACTGCGCAGCGTAAGGCCGGGCAGTTCGTGCTGGACACCTTCCTTGACGAGAACATGGGCGCCGAGATGGGCGTGTGGCCCCTTTTCAAAGCGTCCGAGGCCGACACCTCCAAGAGGGTGGCCGACCGCGTCAACGACGAGAACTGGAAGGTCGCTGTGAAGAGCATTATGGAGAAGAACAAGGGAGACAAGACCCACTGGAGCCGAGAGCTGTATGACCGCCTAGATGCGCACGAGAAGGCGCAGCTGAAGATGATAGAGAAGGCAGAGTTGTGAGAGTGCTGGATGTCAGGATACCATAGAGCATGATATACCCCAAGTGTTTAATCGGCTATATTGACAAAGGTCGTAGTCACTGTGACTACATTCCGGATGTGAATTGAGGCTGGATACCCTTTCTTGTGGGCCCGGTGCCACCCAGGGTTCGGTCAGTGACAGTCCAGCACATGGGGAATTTGGGGCTTGTACAGAGAGCGCAACAAAGTCGACTCAAATCTCATTTAACCGGCGATATGGTAGGCAACTGATCACGATGGACACAGGAGCAGAAGAGTGCGCATGTAATTTTGGTATCTCTTCGTTGAATTCATTCCCATTTTGAGGCTCAAACTTTTTTAGCGGACAACGATGTTGTATTGAACTATCATCGCCCAAACAACATGGTAGCGGCCTTGTCTTGCTACCAAAACCATTTCCCGTTTCGCCTTGATGCCCGTTTGAATGCAAGAACCTCCCTAAGACAGCCCACAACCATCCTCTACTTCAGAGGAATGAAACGAGAAGAGTGCGTGGCACCAATACCGGGTCTACCGTGCTTGACAGGCTTGCTGTTGGGTCGTTAGCGTTGTTCCGGGGGCGTCTGCTCCCAGCGGGAGCGGGTACTATGCAGAAGAGGACGTACTAAGAGATAGAGAACTCGGCGAGGTAGTGACCAACCATCTCGGGCTTGATCTCAACCTGGTTGAACTCCTTGCCGGAGTAGATGCCAATGACGGAGCCGATCATCTCGGGGACGACAATCATGTCACGGAGGTGGGTCTTGACGAGCTCGGGCTTCTCGTTGGGCTTGGCCTCCTGCTTGGCCTTGCGGAGCTTCTTGATCAAGCCCATGGGGCGGCGCTTGAGACCACGGTTGATGCGCCGGCGGGCACGGGCGTGGACGACATCGCGGAGCTGCTCTGAGTCGAGGTCAAGGAGACTGTTGGAGAACCAATGTTAGCCTGGGCCGTCCTGGTTCGTGAAAGATGGTCTGGTTGATCGGATCGTGGGGATGGCAAGCGATGATGCAATCATCGTGTTCTTCGATGATCGTGGGGTGCGAGTGGTGGCATGACGATGCAGATGTGGACTAAACGTACGCGTCAAGGTCGACTCCGCGGTAGGAGAACTTGCGGAAGGCTCTTCTCTTCTTGAGCTCGGCAGCCTCCTCGGCGTTCTATACGGGAATTTCCAGTCAGCCAATCTGTTCTGTGCAGCCACCAACAAAAAAGGCTCTCCATATCCGTTGACCATTACACTAATGGCCTCGGTCCCATCCAATTGGGTTTATTTTCTTCCATCGCTCAGGGGAGAGGGAACAGGATCGCACGTACGTATTCGGGGTCGTCAGCCATCTTTGCGGTCGTGAGTTGTCAGGAGATTCGCTTTCGATGCGGTCTATCGAAGGCGAATAAGCTGAATTGCCGGTGGTGTCGAAGTTTTGGAGAGGGTACTGGGCCTGCGATCGCTTGGAGGTTTCGCTTGTTCCTGCGCGCTGAGCGGGCCCGCTTTACTTTTTTGTAGGGTTCGGTTGCCCTCCCCCCGCGATCATGTGACTCTTTTGTGCACCTCGCTAGAGGAAGATGCATCGGGCGCTTGGACCATCCCACTTTCTCATCTCTTCCGGTCATGCAACAATTGCACCCGGACGGCCTGCTCCTCCACCACCGAAGATTTTGTTACTGGCCGGCGATGTGAGAAGCACCGCTCGGCAGGAGGCTGCGTCCGCTCCCCATTTATTCGGTCGATCTTCCAAGCATTCACGATGGCTGGTTTCTACCCCAGGCGATGCTTCTAGCGGGTTTCCCCCCTTCTAGCCTTTGTGTCTTGTTTTTCCTCTTCTGCTTTCTCTCGATGTGAGGCTCTTTTCATCACAAGCCACCGATTTCCCTATTACCTGGCGACCTAGTACTCGGAGCATCCTCGATGTCGTTTAATGTGCTCCAGGACCCTGACCATAGACTCACGTCTTTCAGGTCGACAGCCTGTTTTCAGCAATCTTCAGAAGCCAGAGAAATACCTGCAGAGAACATCAACAACTGCATCAGTTGTCAGTTGCTTGTCTCTTTGCGCAGGAGACGTCTTAGATTACTGGGAAGGGTTGAGTGCTGCCCGAACCCAAGTTTAACGTCGTAGAATCTGGTGTAAGCAGGCTTGGCTTAAAGTGATTGCTGTGCATGGAGAACAGCTCAACCACTTTTCGAGTTGTTGCACCCAAGCTTGTCAGTACTGACGTCCCAACAATGCTTCGGAGGTGCTGAAGTTGCTGCAAATATATTACTACAGCTATCGATGCCTTTAACTGCCTCAGTAACATTTGAGGCGCCATGTCGTACTTGATTTGCAACAATGTAGCAACACACCGTTAAGTGATTATGCTTTATCTCCCAAAACACACCACTATGTGAAACCAAGGCAGGAATTTGATAACTGGCAGACATGTCATTATTTTGCCCTGCGATTCAGAACGTGGCTTGCTTCTGTCTGATGAGGAATTTATAACAGCCAATGTTGAGACATCGTGCTCGGTGCATTCAATGTCTCAGTAAGGTTGGGCGACTACATGTGTCTCCATGAGTGTGTGCATCCAGGCGATGAGCTGATACGGGGCCTTTATATAGACAAACGGTTATTCTTTGTGACACCAGCATGCCTCAATAGAAGGTTGTTTGGCCAAATCTTGTACAATAAGAAAGGGGAGCGCCTAGTCACCATACTCAAAAAGGGACTTTGGTTGAAAGCAGTTTTCAACTGTTCCCTGCATGCTGTATATATAAGGAGCTAACACCCCCTCCAAAAGCGACAACATGTGAGAGCATAACTGTGGGCCAAGTCACTCAGTCATGGATGGGTCCAACAAGTATGCCGGAATTGGCAATGACTGCTTATATACTGCCAGAGCACTTACTTGCATCATCTGACCAAACTAAATATGTATGCTCCATGTCCAAAGAATATACATCTCGAAGCAAATATATTTACGCCCGGATCCTCCTTCAGAGATTGTCTTTCCAACCCGCAAAGTCCCCGACACTGCTGCCACCAACCGCTGTGCTCCTCAAATGCTCTTGAAGACATCCAGGCTCGACAACGCAGTACCGGGCCACGAGAACAACGTGTTGGAGGGGCAGCTGGACCCCAAGGCCTGGTTGTCCACCCACGCGGGCTCCCAGTAGTAAAGCCCCTTTCCGTTCCTTACGCCGGCGACGACGTCGGCGACCCGCTTGACAAAGGTGGTCTGCCCAGCCGCGGAAAAGGGGATGTCCTTGAGGTCGCTGGGGAAGGCGTAGGCGGGGCTCGGGCAGCTTGTGGGCCAGTTGGTCTCGGCGACGACGATCTCCTTGCCCCACTTGTTGGCCATGTTGGTCAGGCTCGTCTTCAGGGCCGACAACGTGGCGCCAGAGCCGTAGAAGGGGTAATACGATACGCCCATCATATCGAAGTCGCTTGTCTTGAGGACGTTCTGGGCGAGGACGTTGGTGTACCAGGTGTTCTGCGTGTTCCAGTCCCAGCCGTTGTCGAGGTGGATCATGATCTTGGGCTTCGGGCTGAGGGATGAGTCCTTGATGCCATAGGCGGCCGAATTGAGCAGACGGGCGACGTTGTACCAGTTGGAGGTCCTGCCGGTGTTGAAGAGCAGACCGGCGCGAATCTCGTTGCCGATGGAGATGATGGCGGGCGGGACGCCGGCCTGCTGGAAGGCGTTGCTGACCTCGAGCGTGTAGTTATACAGGCGCCAGCTGAGGTTGTCAATGTCCGAGGGCCAACCCGATGGGATAGCCTGCTTGCTCGGGTCCGCCCAGGTGTCGCTGAAGTGCAGCGTGAGGTAGACGGACAGACCCTGGGCCTTGGCGCGTTTCGCGAGGGCGAGGTTGTAGTTGAGGTTGTAGTCGCCGTTGGAGGGGTTGACCCAGACGCGCTGGCGGACCGAGTTGACACCGGCATTCTTGAGGATAACCTCGAGGGACTGCGAGGCGCCGGAGCTGCTCTTGTACTTGATGCCGGCCTTCTCCTCGATCGAAGCGGAGGACCAGTCCGCGCCCTTGTAGGTGAGGGCGGCGTTAGCCGCGGAAAGGGCGAGAAGGAGGACGGATGCGACCGAGACGAGCATATTGGGCAACAACGATCGATCGACAACGAAATTGGTCTTCTTTCAAATGTTACCCAAGGGGATGACGGGGTGAAGCTGGAGAAGAAGAAGGCGAAAACGGCCCCTCGAGTCGACGAACAAAATTAAGTTGTTCATGTCGTTCCGCATGTTCTTAGACTAGGGGATGGTACTTATCTTCGCCTATGCGCCTAGAGCATCAACTAATCCGAGACCTGTTCCGTACCTTGCTCTAATTAACGGGATCCCATGAACTCATATTTTTTCCTATCCCCGCTTCCAGATTCCACCGAAAGCAGATAATGTCCGAGCCCGAATGGTACTCGTATAGCTAATATATTATGTACACCGCCAAGCCACCCACCTCAGAACTCCTCCGGTCGAGTCTAGGAGCTAACAAGCACGGCTTTACTTTAGACAGATTGAACAAACAAAGGACGTACCAGCTGCCGGCTTACCACATAGCGCTACAGGCAAGCTGCCACGCTGACATGGGCCGTTCCACCGGGCCGCTCTGGTTGGCAGTGGGGGAAGTTTGGCGTTTCATCGCGCAGCTCCCTCAGGGAAGAATTGACGACCCCTCCAATCACGCCCTCTCTTCTCCACACCTATTTGCCCTTTCTGCCCCCAGCCGGGGCCTCGGCTGCTTGGTTTCCTGCCAGACTACCCAAACAAGCGAGCTTCCATCAACGGGTTCTGCAGGTTCTGCCGGCTCTGCATGTAGGCTCTCACTAGGTTCTCAGGTGACCTTTCTCTCTGGCCTTTTTGGCGGGAGTCACTCGCCCGTTTTGATTAAAGTACCACCTCTCCTGTTGTCAACGCAAATGGCCCGAACGGTCCGAGTTAGTTCGCGTCTGGCGGCAGGGCCATCTGTCGACGTGCCATTTCCTGAGAAGCAGCCTCTAAGACAGAGCGGCCCAAGACTGTAAGCGCGGCCCTCCCATTGGCACGGGCACCTCGATTGGCTTTCCCGTATTGTATTGTCTAGACTAAAGGAAAGTCGACGTTGAGATAACCTTGGGGTCGGAGCAACGATCCCAATACCTGCGACCAATCCCTCCACCGAAGAGCAGCGTTGGCGAAATGCATATCAGACTTCATTGTCGTTGCTGCCATATCATAGTGTTCATGTTGATAACTCTCATAACATGCCGAATTGAGGTGCTTCTCCGCCACTGCAGCCATTCCACTCCACGCTGCACCTCTTGATATTAGCCGTGTACAGCTGTGACAGCCGCGGCGCCGCCGCCATCAGCGTGCGCCCAGAGAGCCTACACACCACTGATCAATGGTGGCGGTATTGGCTCCCGATGCGCGCCAATGGCACCCGACCCCGGTTTGCGCCTCTGGCTCTAGTCTCGATCCCGGCACTTACAATAGGAGCGGATCCAATTCACCTTACTTAGCCATCACCGACGCTTTTCCCAACGTCCCTGCATCGCACAAAACCCAAATTGCGGACCGACCAAGGAAAGAAAAAGAAAAACAAGTGTCTCTTGAACCGTCTCCCACTCATAGCAATCGTAGGCCAGTCTTTCCTGATCTCCCCCTACCCAAGCAAGAGTCTGAACTCCGGTGCGTCTTGGTAAATGGAAGGCGGCAACGACGGAGACTGCCATACGCAAAATCGATCAAGAAAAGCCGTCATAAGTGGGACGGGACGGCGCTAGTAAACTAATGGCACGGGCTTCTTCTCGAACGAGAAAGAAAAGACGCCACCGGCCAAGGCTTACAGGGCATAAGATGCAAGTATCTTGTCGGCAGAACTTGCGGGAAAACAAGACAACTACTGACCTTGCCGGCTGGGCAGCCGGATATTTGTACACCTCTATCACATGGTGAGTATAAACTTGCGCCGATCCTCGGCATGCTCGCCTCTGGGTCGTCCGAACCGGCCGATGGTGTACGGTTAGCTGCCAACTTGTAGTCGAGCATATCTGGCCGGGTAGCACATGGCCACAATCACGTGTGATGATCATCTGTGCCAGGGGAGCCCTCCTGCCAACTGCGTTGCTTGTTACCCGCCATTTTCATAATATCATCAAATTTCATATACTAGAAATATTACTATGCTGAAAATCCGAATATGCTCTGCCTGAGCTGTCCTGGCTGAAGAACCCCAGAACTCCGCCATCAGCTGTAGCCAGCTATAGTACGTCGATCGCGTTAAACACCGTAAACCCATTTCCGTAATATGCTAACCTAATCCCAAATACCTTGAGGATATACCCATCCTTCGGTTTCATCGTGGACCGTTGTCAAAAGAAAGTAACGGGGGAGGATGTCACAACAAGCCAAGACCTTTGAACCTGACCATTCCCCTTGCCTTTTTGTCCAAACTCTCGTCGCTACCTCCCGGTTCCGAGGCTCCGTAATTTCGAGACTCCTCTCTCTCTATATACTTTTCCCTTCATGCCGTATAGATTGGCCAGTCTAATGGAAGCCCAGTCTTCGCAATTCGTAACCCTGGGCATTTTGTTAGCATAGCAGCCAGCTGCTCCACTTACATTGCATGCGCCGGGATGGTCATGCCCTCTACCGAAAAATGTTGCGCACTGGCAATGGTCCTCGTCAAAATTTCGATATGGTTCACGAACGACTCGGTAGTCAGGCTGTGGCCCTTGTCGGCTTTGTTTTCTTCGGTGACCCAGTCTGATCCCCAAATTTCCGGCGGGATAATGGAGCTCTTGTACAGGGCAATCCTCACAGGCCACTCGAGGTGTTGCCACCAGGGGCTGGTGGCTTCGAATTGCGAGACAATGCCCATAACCTCTCTGCGCGCGACGCCGTCTAACCACCACACTGCTGACTCGTAACCCTTGAGCAGCGCGAAGAAACTGGCGAGAATGGCCAAGGCACGAGGTCGGCGCTCTTCCAGCAAGTCGATCAACCGTTTTGAAACCGTGGCCGGGAAAGCGAGGGCAGCACCACGATGGGGCAGTTTGTGTGCCCAATTCAGGACTGCAACAGCGTGCTGATACGACTGCCTTGTCGACATGGCCATGACGTCATCTTCGCCCTGCAGCTCGTCTTCCAGGTTATCAAGGAGCCCCCCAAAGAATGAGTTTGGCGATGTGGCATCCAAGTCAAGCTGAAGGACAGGCTGCGAGTCAATGATGGGAATGACAATATTGCTGTTCCGAATCCAAGGCCAGGACGTCGCCACAACTGTCTTGACGCCCTGGAATGCGTGAAACCACGAAATGGGCAGAGAGTAGGTACTGGAAGGGTCGTTCGGATCGGCTTCGTCGCGAATGAAGATTCGAGAGGCGGTAGACTGAAAGGCGATAAGAACGGCAGTCAGGAAAAGGGGTTCGGCGTTGGCTTCCGTAATGCCATTCTGCAGAGAAGCACAATACGCGGCTAGCGACGAGGCCATGTACGAGTGCGAGGCTCTGATGAGCGCCCTGTCATCCGGGTTGGAGGACCGTAAATGTAAGGCAGACACGGCGAGCATAGCATCTGCGAGGTAGCTGGCGCCACCGAAGGCCAGCCTCGGGACCGTATTCGTCCAGATATCGTAGATGGCGGGCGTGTTAACCACCAGCGTACGGGAAGTCATCGACGTGAATTGGTGCATCAACCGTAACTCCAGGAGCCGATTATTGGAGGTGGTCGCGGTAGAAATGGTAGCGGTGGAGGGTCTGATATAGAGCGGCGAGTAGTTCATGACAGGAGGCGAGCCCGCAGATGACGGTGTTTTGCCTCGATTCGAACCGGCAAAGGGGGGGGAGGGTGCCATGGACGAGGCTCTGTCGACAGGAGAATTTGATGACAAGGTGCTGCTGGACGGCGTGATGGCAACGAGGATATCGTCGAGGACGTCTGGGCTCTCAAAGTCGCAAGGTACGCCGTGCTTGACGCAATTACCGCATCTCGGGTGAACTTCATCGCACTATCGACAAGCAGGGTATTAGTTGGTGGCCGAGTTGGGCGTGGGCGAGAGCAGGTGCGGGGGCGGGGGCACGGCGGCGTTACCTTGATCTTGCGCGACTTGCATCGCTTGCAGCCAGCTCTCGACTTCTTGTGTGATCTCCTGGGCGGCATGTTGGCGACACAGGAGGGGGAAGGAAAGAAAGGAGGGTATTAATGTGATCAGAGACTAAGAGTGGTTGATCGGGTCAGGTATCCGGTGTGAGGGGTTCCCACTCTATAAGGCAAATGTGGGTGAGCTGGTCTTCACGTGCCGTTAACGAGACAGCACAGTTGACGTCGATGTCTTTCCGGGCAGGTCAAGGCGCATGACAGACGGGCAGGCAGCCTGGTTGATGTTGGATAGGTAGTAGGGGTAGTAGGGGTAATGTGGGGGGCCAATGGCGTGAGTTGGGGCCGACAAGCGGATATTTAAAAGCCGAGGAAATGGAAAATGCACGGAAAGAAGGCAGTTCCCAACAGTGCGTGTAGTGACGGCTTCGCAGTCTCGGGGAGGATTATGCAACTTGTAGCTGTGGAGATGGACGAATTGGGTTCGAGGAGCCAGGTAGGATCGTTTGTGCTGTCCACGATAGGTATACATACGCTGGGTCAAAGTGCTCCCCCCGTGTCTCTTCTGAGCGTACCCACCCCCACCAACATAGCACAGGTCTAGGAAAGGAACCCGTGTCGCAGCCTCAGCGCACGTCGAGATGAAGCAAGACAGGCAGGCCAGGCCGATGGGGGCTGGGCCCGAGCCTCGTAGGCAAGCAAGGTGATTGCATTTTCACCCTCTACTTTTACTTGGGTTTGGATGTGAAAACAAATATTCATGGTGGGGCAGGCAGGTAGGGTAAGGTTCTTGGGCTGAAGAAGATTAAAAGGAAGGAAGGTGTCACTGCTGCTGTCTGTCAGTGTTATGCAGGGCAGAAGCGGAGGAACACAGGTGCAGACGTGGTTTATCTGTGGGTACCTACGTCGTACCATAGGTACCGGGCAGCGCAACCAACCACACCCTAGCATGGCACAGGTACCTGGATACATCTACAAAGTTGGGACGTACACCAGAACTATCAGGTTGATCGGGGAATGCATATCGCCGCATAACCGCCATACGAACTCAACCAGGTGTTTTACCTAGCAAGCCATCTCCCTGTGTCCCTTTAACCGACCAAGATAACTCAGCTTCGAATGAGACGTCCCGTCTGTGCCCGCCATGGACTGCAGACTACCACTGATTCCCAGAGTCGGCGAATCAAGGATGGTCGCGGAACCCCCGGACGGCTGTGCGTGTGCAGATATTCCCACGATGTACGCCTTTGGAGCCGAAAGGTGTCTGTCTGCAGCAGCTGCCTGGACTCTGGAGTGTCCTCTGCCTTGGTAGACAGTACACACAGGTATCTACCTACCTCTTACGTATGCTTAGGTTAGTACGGATACCAAGGCACCGTGGGAAGTAAGATACGTACACTCGTCGTGCACGCACTGATTGCAAGGCACTTGCGCATAGATACTTTCTCAAGATACCTCCTGCCTGACTTTGGTACCACTGTACTTGTAACTTCCTGGGGTAAACGAAACGACCGTTTAGAGTGCGAGGTCGGCTTCGCGAACCCGACCTGTTTGACCCCGGCCATCGTTTGCTGTGGCTTAAGGTGGGTAGGTACTTCAGCTATATATACGTACACTGCCTCTTACGCTACACACCGACCCCAGACCCAGGATCCCAAACTTGAAAGCCAGGGTATGACGAGTAAAAAGCAAAGTACGTGTACAAGGTGCAAGGTCTAATTAGACGCCGACCCATCCACCTCGAGGTGACGAGTCTCGGTAGGCAAGGGAATCACCTCAGACGAATAAGCCTGAGGGAGCTAGATAAGACTTACTCATTATTCGGAGAAGTCCGTCGGGCTGTTCCGTGTCTAGTCAATAGTGCAACGTAACAGACGACCTTGAAGAAATGCTCGCGGTAATGCCTGTGAAGAGACAATGAAAGAAAGAAGGGATTCCACGCATCAGTCGACGCGCCACGTCCCGAATCGTGTCATTTCATCGCCACAAGTGCTTGCCTCTTGAATGTGGCGGTATAGATGGTGTTTGATATTTGCTTATGATTAGGTTCGCCGGGCCGACGTGCTCACAAGTATCTTGAAGTGATGGACTCGGTGGGGGTGGACGTGGCGATGTGATATGATGCCCACAGTCCTTCGGGATTTAGTGGCGGCCGCCGCCATGGTCGAATCAAAGACCTTCAAATGCTACACGTTATGGTGTGGATGCAGGCAACCGGTCCCTGCCATTTGTGAAGGGCGCTACGGCTCCCGAGCGGGAAGGAATCTGACCAGGATTTCGACCAGGCGTTTGTCTCCCTCTCTATTGGGCCAGGCAAATCAAGCGGCATTTGGCAGCCGTGCTTATTGAAACATCTTGGGGTCTTTGCATTAGGAAGACTAAGGCATAAGCGCGAGCTGTAACGTTCATGGTGGACGGCTGGGTGGGCTTGTTCTGTGGCCAACCTCAGGTCTGTGAACAGCACCTCTGGCACGAGGCCATAGCATCAACGATCCTTCACCCGCCATCTGTTCGTTGACGAAAGTTTCCAGAAAGTACATCTTGGCGGCTGAACTGACAGATCAAAGGTTTTCATGGATGATGCCATCGTATTGTACACTACCCATAGGCGTTGTTTGGGAATTCGCTGGAGTCGGCGGGGCTGGATGGGCCGTCGACAAACAACGGCTTGGAATCACTTTGACTGACGATAGCGATGCAGCTGTGTAGGCGATCTCCTGCCGGAAACCCACAAGGCATGTCATAACTATCAGAAGCGACTGTACTGCAAGGCCGTAAGGGGACGTGATGACTGAACAACCCCTGCGGTGAGAGGCAGATGGAACCGACTAAGACTTTGCGGCCCGTTCAGGTTGACTTCAATAGCGCTTCAAGTATGTCTCACGTCAAAAAAATAAACCCATACATTGGGTAAAGACCCTAGGCCAGGTTCAATTCCTTTCTGGCCAATGATAGGTTCTTTCTCAGCGGAAAGCCGGCAGGCCATACTTTCCGATATAGCGACATTAGACCAAATGGTTATTCGATTTGGGTGGATACTATTGTTGAATCTATGGGTAAGACGCTCTTGTCTCCGAGTACATAGGTATCATCAGGATGCCTTGGAAGCCACAGCTTGGAATCGCTAATGGAGGGCCTGCGCTCTATATGCAGAAGGCAGCGACATTGCTAACAGTCCAGCGTTAATTAGCTATACCACGATCAGGACACGTGATACGCCATAGTCCTCGTCTCCGGAGGATAGACCAGTGCCGGTCTTTCGTTCATGGCCGGCGCAACTTGCGGGTCGGCTCCGGCGGGCGAACTCTCCTTAGTGGTGGTCGTTTTTGAAACAGCGGATGGGAGTAAGGACGAAGCGCTGAAGGGCTTGAAAGTCTCGCGGCTGCTGGTTACGGCTGCGAATCGATGGCAACGTTGGGCCATTAGTGAGCCACCCACCCTCAGCGAGTCTTCCGTTGGTTGTTGGTGGCTGATGATATCGAAGGCGCCAGCGCATACGGGTCTGGATCTGAGGGTACCAGGTCAAGAACGTGTGGGATGTTCAAAGGATCGCCGAGTCGTATCGGCGCCGCAGGGAGTTTTTCATTCATGCATACCGTTGAGCCGGCGATGCACTGACCATAAAGCAGGCATTGAGTTGCACCGAGCAGAAAAAGAGAGGGAACTGCCATGCTGCGTTGAGATCTCCTGTGGCCCCGTGCTATCTGTTTCGGCCATTCGCCCATTGCGGTAATGAATTCGCGAGATAAAGGATGGTTCTGCCAAGAGCATCGGCGATGGGTCGCCTGTCATAGTCTTCTCCTCTGACTGACTAGAAACATAACTTGACATGGCATGCAAGGACGTCCAAGCCAAAGAGGATGGAACAAAACCGTAAAAAAGTATCACTTCCCAAAGGGGGATAGTATGGGTTCTGCATAAGAGTATGTAAGTGTACGCTAACCGGGCCTGTCCCAGGTCCGTACGGAAGCAGACGATTGGATGAAGGACATATATCCCAAGGCAGGCACTTCAATTCGTCGAATGGTTTTTCCATGAAGCTTACAATGACAAGGCACGGGTAGGGTAAAACAGCTCCCATCAGTCGCACTTCGTGCGCAGACTTGTCTCAGGAAAAGAAAAGAGATACCATCTCCAAGACAAGAGCGGTTACACCTCAATGAGGCCTTTGCAGTCTCGCCGCGGAGTCTTCCCGCGAGTTTCGATCCTCGCTGAACAAGTCAAGGTGCTGGTCCTGGCGGAGACAGAGGAATGCTTATGCGTAAATGACCTTTCCACATTGGGAATAATAAACAGGGCTTCATGCTCCATGCTCGTCGGCGTTTGGTTTCATTTGTGTTTGCCGCGTGCATGTTGCGATACTTTGTGACGCAACAGGTTTGCACATGTGAGATGCCACGTCCCGAAGGCTTGGATAAGATTAGGCATCCGCCGCCGTTTACATATATACCTACACTGTCAACTTGCGTGTGAGGGGGTCCGCGAAAGAACAGGCTGTCAACAACGGGGCGCTGGCCCGGTCGCTGTTGTTGCGTTTTTGACATTAGATAGAGTTGACAGACAAGACACCGACTGAGCTTGGAGCAGGTGAAACATACTTTTAGGTGAAGTAACGTTGTCAGGGAGCTGGTCGGGTACGCACGCGGTCAGCCAAAAAGCTTGCACACTTCAATTGACGTAATAATACTACATATACTGCGTAATCCGCCCTAACCATTACAAACAGCCCAACATTAAATTAACAAGTACGGATATACGAATAGAAATCAATTAGATTTAACACAAGACTGCCCTTTTTACCACCAAGCATGTTTTTCCTTACGCTAATTACGTCTTTAGTAGTCTAGTTGGTACAGAATTAGCTAACTTGTTTAATAGTCTTAGTTTTTTTGTCACCTGCGTGACGGGGGTAGTTTGGAAGCTGACTAAAGCTAGGCAACTGGCATCCAGAATGACGTAAGCGACGCTAGCTATTAGTCATGGTATCGAACGGAGAGCCGAAGCTGGCCGCTTGATTACTCGGCTCCACTATACCGTACTTAGGTAGTTTTTCCTCCTTGTCGCCAGAACTCACATTCAATAAGTGGATATGTCAGCATGCGGAACCTATACCCCGAAGGTCCTGTTCTTACCAGTTCCGAAGTATGTTGTGTCGCAGCGCCGTGGTCGTTCAGCTTATCTGACCCTGCTGCTACCATGGTACATATGCGTACATGCCTACTGCAGATTACGGACAAGCGGGCAAGCAGACGCGGCAGGGTGCAAACTTTACGTCTTGCGCCATCGGGATTCGTGATGACGGAAGCCCATCGAACCGTTTTACTCACCAACTTGGCTGGCTGTTCCCAGCTCCTCCAATCTATGTCAGCTCCGGCTGGAGGCGGTGTATCTAAGAGTGATCAGAATCGAAGGCGCCATCCAAGGGATCGCAATATAAAGTGCCATATGATCTTGCCTTCCCCGTATTGATGTAGACCTTCCCGATCAACCGATCGACCGTACATACAAGCGCGACCACAAATTGTCCAACCCCGGGGGATTCTCTTGAGCACCTCATTACCTGCCTACGGGAGTTCAGTGCCTTGCATATTAGCTCCGGATTGCGCCATCCTCAACATCCATCCACCGGACCTGATTCCCGGTGTGACAGCTCTTTGACTTTACCTCTATTAGCCATTGTAGACCACCCGTTGCCATTAATCATATAAGTCTACTCAACAGGGTCTCCTCTAAAGTATACGAAGCCGACGATAAATAGCACCAAATTGTCCCGCCTTCTTCCAGCACGGAACTTCACCACCGCGAACCCCGATTGAGCACCCTAGACCGGCCCATTGACTCATCACCTTGGCCAGCAGGCGCCGCGATTGCGTGATCGATTCCTCTAGGCTCTCGGAGTTTAGAGCACCCACGAAACAAAGCACCGTCGTCTTTTCTCTCTCTCTCCATCTTTCTCTTCTCTCTCTTTCTTTTTTTTTTCTTTTTTTTCGGTCTACCGGCGAAGCGGGGCGATTCCCACTCAACCGTACGGATACCAACTGGTTTTTTTTCTATTCATACGTAATAGCAGACCTAAGGAGAGAAAAAAAATCAAAGACCCCGCGGCTCGGTTACCATCGACTCTACTCACAAAAACACCGAGACTTTCCTTCTCAGTCCGATACCCTCATCCCTCCCGTCTTCTTCAAACTTTCTCTTAGTGAAAAAAACAAAAAAAAAAACAAGCCGCAATACCCGTTCTGCTACAGGTCAGGACTGTCTCTTCAGAAAAGAAAAAGACCCCTCCAAAACCCCTCCATAGAACCCCTCCATCGTCGTAATCATGGCTGTCCCCACCGAGCAGCCTATCGATACCCCTCCTCGGGCGCCCTCTCCCGTCCACAACTTCGGCACTCTCGCCGTCCACGCTGGCTCCCCTCATGACCCCGTCACCGGCGCCGTCATTGAGCCCATCTCGCTGTCCACGACCTTCGCCCAGACCAGCGTCGGCAATCCCGTAGGCGTCTACGAGTACTCGCGCTCTAGCAACCCCAACCGTGACAACTTCGAGCAGGCCGTGGCCGCCCTCGAGCACGCAAAGTACGCACTTGCCTTCTCCTCCGGCTCCGCCACCACCGCCGTCGTTCTCCAGTCCCTTGCCGCCGGCTCCCACGTTATCTCCGTCTCGGACGTCTACGGCGGCACCCACCGCTACTTCACTCAGGTCGCGAAGGCCCACGGCGTCAAGGTCACCTTCACCCCCGAGATCGAGGTCGACATCTCGGCTCACATCACGCCCGCGACCAAACTCGTCTGGATTGAGAGCCCCTCGAACCCTACCCTCCGCCTCGTCGACGTCCGCGCCGTCGTCACCCAGGCCCACCAGCACGGCATTCAGGTTGTCGTCGACAACACTTTCCTCTCCCCCTACGTCCAGAATCCCCTCGACTTTGGCGCCGACATCGTCGTCCACTCCGTCACAAAGTACATCAACGGCCACTCCGACGTTGTTATGGGCGTCGCCGCCTTCAACTCGGACGAGCTCAAGAAGCGCCTCGGCTTCCTCCAGAACGCCATCGGCGCCGTCCCCTCCCCCTTCGACTGCTGGCTCGCCCACCGCGGCATCAAGACCTTGCACCTCCGCGCCCGCGAGGCATCCCGTAACGCAACTGCCGTTGCCACCGCCCTTGAGGCTTCTGAGAACGTCATCGCTGTCAACTACCCTGGCCTTGACTCTCATCCCCACCGCGCCATCGCCAAGAAGCAGCACCGTGATGGCATGGGTGGTGGCATGCTCTCCTTCCGTATCAAGGGCGGCCACGCTGCCGCCGAACGTTTCTGCCAGCTCACCCGCATCTTCACCCTCGCCGAGTCTCTTGGCGGCGTCGAGTCCCTCGTCGAGCTCCCCAGCAGCATGACCCACGCCGGCATCCCCAAGGACCAGCGCGAGGCCGTTGGTGTCTTTGACGACCTCGTCCGCATCAGCTGCGGTGTTGAGGATGCCGAGGACCTGCGCCGTGATGTGCTTCAGGCCCTTGACAAGGCTGTCGCCGAGCAGAAGAATGGCACCAACGGTCACTAGAGGAATCAGCCAAAGAAGAAGGCACTTCTTGATTTCAGGTGTTTAGGGTTATCGATTTTTGAAGAGCTATCGCCGCAAGCGAGCGTAGAGCGACGCCGCCGATATACTTCCGGCTGGCTTAATGCGTTTCCACTGTTTACCTTCCTCTTTTTGCCCCCTCTTCTTTCCTTTAAACTAGGGTCGGATGAAAGCTCCGTCGACATCATCATCATACAAGGGTGCCCAGAAAAAAGGAGAGCGTAGGTATATGAAGCAAATGAAATTTCTAGAATATGGAATGGGTATTACCAATCACCTCGTAACAAACTCCAATGACACTCATGATATCCTGGCATATGACGCCATTGAGAAAGAAAAAGAATAACATTCCTACCGTATAACGCCTGCCACAACTGGGATCGTGGCTTCAGTCCTTCCATCTCGTAAGTGGTACAAAGCAGCAATCGTGTAACGGTTCGACAGCGTGCTTCGTCGGGAGTCCTCCTCCAAAGCTCTGTCATCTACAGAGCTTGCTCATTCCTCTGCAAAGTTCATATTCAGAAGGTTTTCTGCCAGATTCCCGCCGCCCCCGTTGGCACCATGACCGGCCTCACCACCACCGTCACCCCCGTCACCCCCGTCCCCTTGGCCCATATGCTCGTTACGCTGCCGCTGGATCTCGTTCATGCCCTGACACGCGGTCTCGGCGATGTAGTGAAGTTCCTCGAGCGTGCCGCTATTACAATTCGGAAATATGCCATCGATGCTGCGCTGCCAACTGCTGGTGCCGTTCCGTACGGCACTCTGGTATGCGTTTGCGTCGAACTCGGTGACCCGCAACGCACGGGTGTGGGGCCGCATCTGGGTGAGGAGATAATCGTTCGATTCCAGGACTGGGAGATAATATAAGGGGCTGCCGTACAGCTGTGGCGGTTGGTGATAACCAAGAGCGACTTCGACAAAGCGTTGCGCCATCGAGCGGCCCAGTCCGCAGGGATCACTGAAATCGAAGTCCGGAGACGATGGGGCGGGCGAAGACGGCAAGTCGTCGCGGGTGTAGAGGTCATAGCCCAGGAAGGAGGCTCGGCATATCTCGAGTTTTGGACACGATTCGCGGACAATCATAGCCATCCAGTCGTCATGAAGGCCAGGACGCTGATTCGGTAGGCCGACCCAAAGAATCTGCTTCAAGTCTTCATTGAGGTTTTGCCCTTGCTCGACCTTGAGATAGACCTCGTTTAGGTACAGTTCGCGCAAGGTCACGCCAAAATTGCGAGCAGCGCAGCGCAGGAAAAACGGTGTGATCTCGACGCGCTTCAGTTCAAGAGCCGTTAGGAAGGTCAGCGTAACTGGTGGAGGAGGAAGCGCGCGGGCCCGCCACTCATCCAGTGTCATGTTCCACGCCTTTGTTTGCTTGAAGACTTGCGGTGGACGGTCATCGTCGGTACCAGATAGACATAGTGTTTTCAGGACATCCGCATTGTGTATGAGATCCCACAGACACGTGCCGTAGAAGGATACGCGGGGTGGATCGACCTCGTGGCGGCGAAAGGAGATCACCATGTGTTCGAGGTGACGGATAGCGCGCATGATGGCGAGGACGTCAGAGGGGTTGGTCCAAAGATCCACAATGGCCTGGTCCGAGACGTTTTCGAGAACGAGCGTCTTGAGATATAGGGAATCTTCCGGGCGGCGGGAGAAGGCGGAAAAGGTATTCGCGAGGATCATTGTTGCGGCATTGCAGCGGTGGCCCACGAGCTGGAAAGGCAGGTTGAGGCGAAGAGAAGAGACAAATTGGCAGTTGAATAGTATCGTTTCGAGCATATGTCGATATTCCAGCGTGGTGAAGGAGGCCGGAGACATACAGTATTCGCGCTGTAAAGTTTGGACGAACTGCTTCATGGAAGGTATTCGGTCGAATATGGTGGACAGAAACTCAACTTCCACTGGCGAGGGTCAGTACGAAATTGCAGGTCTTTGATAGCCGTCTCCTGCTTACGTTCATCGCGAAGGACCATCAAGTCAATGTACATGGACTTGCAATGGTACCCAATCGTCTGGAGGGAGTCGACATCGGGTTGGCGGCGGCGGCTGTTCTTGCTTAGACGGCTGAACTCGAGAGCTATGGTCCGGCACGCGTAGGGTTTGAGAAAGCGATCGAAGGCCCTGCAAACTAGTCGAAGGTCCAAAACGTTATTCCGCGGGCCCAAGGCGACGCATTGCTGGAGGATGGCATCGATCAACTCGCGAGGAAGCGACTCCATGGCGGAATCGTAGGGGAAGGGGAGCTCCGAAGGATCTGGCGGTGCTGCTCGGCAGCTCGGAGAATTGGAGATGGGACTGGAGCTCTGCTACGGGCACTTGAGCTGCTTGATGGCGATTTTGTGATGGAGCAACCGCTTCAAGTTTCGGCGTGAGGATCGATTGCTCGGATTGGTTGCAGAATGCCAATGGAGGGGGGTGGGAGGGAGATTGGGGTTGGCAAGGAGAGAGAGTGTGTGGTGATGGGGCTAGCGGTCGGAAGCAAAACGGGGACCTGTCTGGAACGAGAAGGTGCACCTAACTGTGATAGGGAGCTTTGATCACCTGGAGGGTCATTACGGCTTGAGGTACCGTACAACGTGAGCTAAGAGGGAGGCAGGGGTCCGCCCGTTAGGGACCCGCGACGACGCCCACATAACGCTCACTTTATATAGCCTTTCCAGCTGCGTCTTGTAGCGACATCTCTCGGATTCGAGCGAGCTGGATTGGTATCTACAAGGTGCTAGCCCAATCGGATTCAATATCGATCTATAGATTGATGAATACGCCAAATGTAATATCTCATGGGTATCGGCCGGGCCAGCTTTGCCGGGCGCGATCTTACACGCAAGCCTAGCTACTAGCTGCTGCAGACTTTTGGACCCATGACACTGGCATGTGGTGTTGTCTGAGCATGTCGGCTGCATAGGCTCTGTGTTAGTCGTTCCAACCATTCCGCCGGGCAAACCACTTGATGAAATAGACCAGTCCAAGGAGTACCGGAACCTCAATGAGCGGCCCGACGGTCGTTGCAAGCGCCTCATCCGAGTCAGGTCCGTATGTCGCGACGGCAATCGCAATGGCCAGTTCAAAGTTGTTGCTAGCCGCCGTGAATGCCTGCGTGCAAGCGAGGCCGTAGCGGAAACCCAGCTTGCGGGCCACGAGTAGTGTCGCCGAGAAGATTACGGAGAAGTAGACCACCAGCGGCGCCGCCACCCGCACCACGGAGACGATTTGGTGGACGACCTGTGACCCCTGGGATGCGAAGAGGACGACGATGGTGTAAAGAAGGCCGACCAGCGACCACGGCGCCAAGAAGGGTATCACTTTGGCAGTGTACGCCTTGTTGCCCACGGTGTATATCAACGATAGGCGGGTGATGATGGCCGCGCCAAGGGGGATGCCGAGGAAAACGCCCACTGCAGATGCGACTGTCGAGTACGAGATGGAGGAGATGCTGCTGTCTTGGCCGATAACCCTAATGAAGAGCAGCGCGACGGGGGCGAAGAGGACAATCTGCAGAAACGAATTGACCGCCACAAGGATAGCGCAATAATCTCCGTCCCCCCTAGCCTGTCGGACCTGTCAGCGTGCAGCGATACATGTGGTAGCGAGAGGTTACTGACCAAACTCGTCCAGATCAGCACCATGGCAATGCATCTCGCGATTCCAACTAGAATTAAACCATTCCTCAGACCTGGTTTGTCCGGCAGGAACGCCCATGATAAGGCAAGCTACGCTCCCGCTGTCAGTTGGATTCCAAGACGAAGCTGAGAGATATCCCACACTGACCATAAAGAGAGGTGCAACGACCCAGTTGACGATTGCGCTGAAGACGAGTTGTATCCAGACCTCCCGCGTGCGGAAAACATTGTGCAGCTTCTCGTACTGAACCTTGCACAGGATAGGATACATCATAACCAACAGGCCGATGGCTGGATAAAGTCAGAGGTATTCCCGCAGGTATTCGGATAAGAAACTTGCCTATTGGCACAGACACCCCGACAAATTTACCCTGTTGGAGCGCTGGCCCGGCGTTGGGAACAAAGTTTCCCAGGAGAATGCCTATCAGCATGGCGAGAAAGATCCAGAGGGCCAGGAGTCTGTCAAGGATACCAAGAGACTTGAAAATCGAAGAGACTTGGGCTTCGTCGGTCTCAGGGTTCTGCTGCTGCTGCTCAACATCCTGGTTAACACCGCCGCCGGCCAGCTTCTCAGCTGGGGCTTTATCCTTGTTCGATTCAGACCCGCGCACGACATCGAAGGAAACACTCGACGACATTGCGACAGAAGTGCCAGTAATTGTGAATTAGAATTAAGTGTGACAGATGGCGGTTGTGCTGAAATGGTTTCCCGTTACTTTTGTTATTCGACTGTACCCGTAGATGGTTGGGAAGCAACCGAAGGCGAGGGCGGGTTTTTTTCCCGCGGGCTTTCAGTTCTGTCCAATCAGAGCAAAGGGGTGACATTTCCATTCAAGCGTGCTGCTGCACCGGCTCTGGCCCCCCACCAAAAGAGGCCTCGCGTCTGGAATCTCATGACCACTTGCTACTCTTCTTGTTGCTGAAGTTATATAGTCCGAAACCACCTACTCAAGGTTTCGATTCTGGGTTCTGGCTGCCACCCGTTGCTCCGAAACCTAACGGTATGTCCTGGTTTCATCCTGGTTCTCCCTAACGTTCTGGAAAGCAGCCCAAGAGCCACCGGTTCTGGATTTTCTCTTAGTGCACGTAAAGAAAGACACGGTTGAAGCGAGTACATAATTGGTGTTACTAGGTATGTTGTCTGATGCTGTGTAAGTGATGGCAAGGGCGTTCGCTTCCCAAATTCTTACCAGATTGTTCCTGGTTGGTAGGAGCTCAGCTCCAGCCTCATTAATGCGCCCTCCGAACCCTGAACTACGTGGGCAGGTACATAGTCACATAGTTCACCTACAACTACCCAGACCCGATCATCGGAAACCACTGCTTGGAACCCTTGGTGGGTAGGGGGATTATATA